AAGCTGTGCCTTGTAGTATATTTAGAAAACAGTAGTATGCAATCATGTTTATGGGAAAGTAATGAATCTTAATCTAAATGCTTTTAAGTATTCTTAGCTGTATAACATAAAGCTGGCCTCAAAGTAATTCTTCTGCCTCAGCAATATATCACAGCTTCTTTATGTACAAACTAAAATGTTCCAGTCTAGCTAATTAGGAAGTTGAGCAAGAAAAGAACACTTTTTAGATTTAGGACAACTTTGTAAGAAATTAAGCTTTCAAACAGTGTTTCTGAGAAGGTCATGTGTTTTCTCCATAAGATCATTTTATGAATTCTAAACATTTGAATGTAGTTTTTCTCAAGAGAAGTTTTAACAGTAGCAGAATATATTATTCAGCACGATGCCACTAAGGGAGGATAGAGTGTAAAGTTACGAGGCCTCCTAGAGTACTAAAATAGTTCAGAAATGCCAGCTGGAGTGGCATTTCATTTGTGTTTTTATAAATAAAGCTTGCCTTTGCCCGAAGATCAGAGAGTAAAGCAGCCCACTGGTCAGCCTTACAGACCAGGCAGTAGTGGCTCACACCTTTAATCCCAGCACTTGGGAGGCAGAGGAAGGCAGATCTGAGTTTGAGGCCAAGCCTGATCTACAGAGTGAGTTCCAAGACAGCTAGGACTATTATACAGAGAAACCCTGTCTTGAAAAACAATGAATGAACAAACGAATAAAAAGACTGTAGCCCCCCCCCCCAAAAGAATGTGTAGCCCCAGGTGACCCCAGTTCCCATCCATTCTGGCTCTGTCTCCAGAGTGCAGAGATTACTGGCTGCTACACCTTAGCCTGTAATAACATCCTTCTAACTCCACCAAAATGCTGAGATTACAGGTCAGAGTTACCATTGCCTGGTCTGTAAGGCTGAACAGTGGGACTGTTAAAATACAAATGGAATGCCACTCCAGCTCCTGCTCTGCAGGCTCCCACTTTAGGAACCTAGTCATTTCACCCTGGGGCACATGAGATTAATGCATCCTATTTAAGTTCACCCGAGTCCAGCTTTTGCATAGAGGATTGTGAAGGATTTTTTTCTAGTTTGTCATGTTATTTCATTTTAATGAGTGTTTTGCCTGTGTATACCATGTGGAGGCCAGAAGATGGCATCAATCTCCTAGAGCTACAGTTACAGATGGCTGAGCTACCATGTGGGTGCTGGGAATTGAAGCCAAGCCCTATCTTAGACTTCACTTTTCCCACCTTTTCCTGTGCTGGTGTTGCCCTTTGCTGGCAGAGAGGTTTAGCTCTCTCCCTAGTTCTTGAGCCTCAGCGCTTATTTTCCTGTCAGTCCCCTGCTGTGGCAGTGTTGAGACATGATCTGATCCCACCATTCCTATAAATTCCTTATTGGCGACCCACATCCATCTTCCTCCTCTGCCCCTCAGCCAACCCCACCCCACCCCAGGTATTCCTTCTGCCCTGTACAGTGAACGCTCCTTCTGTGTTCCCGTTTCTAACCCTACTCTCTCCTTCTCATGCAAAGTTCTCATGTCTGTTTTTAATTTTTAGTAAATTCTATAGATACTTACTGTAATTTGCACACTTCTCCACTGCCAAATTTTGTCCTATAACATGGTCTTGCCCATCCTTTACAGGCCAGTACAGACGACGGCTTTGTGTATAATCTGGATGCACGTTCAGACAAGCCAATTTTTACACTTAATGCACACAACGATGAAATCTCTGGTGAGCAAGAGTGATGTTTCTTTCTGATGCATTAAGTTATGACAAAGTCTAAATTTCAGACAGTAGCTCCTGAACTAATCTTATCTTCTAGGTCTTGATCTGAGCAGTCAGATCAAGGGCTGCCTTGTGACTGCTTCAGCAGACAAATATGTGAAGATCTGGGACATCCTAGGAGACAGGCCAAGTCTCGTTCATTCTAGAGACATGAAAATGGTGAGCATCTCCTGACACTTTGCTTGCCTTTTCATGGGCTTCACTGCAGTCAAGGACGTGTTGAAGTTAATATTGAGCTAGTCAAGTTTGGTGGGAGTTTCTAACTTAGGTATTTTAAAGAATAACTGAACTCCTTTCAGGGTCACAAGCTTAAGTGTCACTTGTCAGGATCAAGAATGGGGGAAGGACATAAGGAAGTGGCCACTGCTTAAAGTTTTGGAACTTCAGCACTTGAGTTATTGGTGGCTCTTTATTTACTACATTGAGGTTTATTGTGTGCTTGCGCACAGAGCGGAATAGGTAGTGTTCAACAGATGGGGTGCTTACTGTGAGTGCTGAGTTACACGAGCAACATGTGCAGCACAGAAGAGCACCACAGCTGTTAAATACGTGCATTCGGGCCACGGCGTTCTTAATTCCATCCTAAGCCTATGTATAAATGACTGTGATTTCGTACTTATTCGAATAACAAATGCTATTGCATTAAAGGATTTTCTATTTTTCTCATTCATACTTTCAGTAATGCATATTTCTCATATCAAGTATTAAGAATGGAAAAGCTGAAAGTTCCTTAATCTCAGAGGGTCTGGAGAGATGGCACTGTAAAAAGAACCAACTCCCACACCCAACACATAAGAGACTAAGGACACAGCTCAGTGGTAGAGTACCTGCACATATGCCGAAGAATCATTTCAGAAATGGATAGTTTCTAGGTGTACACAGCAACCTAGGCGGGTGACTCATGCCCAGCTTCATGGTGGTGCTTATCTAGTGGGGGCGGAGGTTAGAACTATCTGGAAGGATAAAAGTCACTGACTTTAGTTCTTTCCCCAGGGAGTTCTCTTTTGTTCTTCTTGTTGTCCTGATTTGCCATTTGTCTATGCCTTTGGAGGTCAGAAGGAGGGGCTTCGTGTTTGGGACATAAGCACTGTATCTTCAGGTGAGAACCTCCAAGCTCCTGCTCTTTGTGAAAGGAAAGAGTAAGGGCTAAGCATGGGTGGGAATGTCATGGGCAGAAAAGGCCTGCCCAGTGTGTATCCTGTAGTCCCTGCTGCAGAAATGGCAAGTCTGTGTTCACACTTAAAATGGACAAGCTAAAAGGAAATGTAGCAGTCTCAAGGAAGAGCAGTCCTTCCTTGCCCAGGTGCCACAATGCATGATTGTGTTCATTTCTCAACTTTCTACAAGTACTGTTAACTTACTGTCCCGTCGTGCCCCCCCCTCGCCCCTTCTGAGACAGGGTTTCTCTGTGTGGCTGACTGGAACTCTGTAGACCAGGCTGGCTTTCAACTCACAGTCTGCCTATGTCTCCTGAGTGCTGGGATTACAGATGTGTGCCACCACTGCCTGACTACTTACTGTGTCCTGAGACAGTATGTCTCCACTAAATTCTCCCTAGACGATAAGGATCCCAAGATTCTAGGTTGCTAATTTGAATTCATAGACATGAAATATGTACAGATTGTGTGTGTGTGGTCATACAGGGCAGGGGGATGTACCAAAGCCCTGTTCCAAGGCAGATTTAAGCTCTAGGGCAAAGTACAAAACATGATTAAGGTGGTGGCGCACACCTTTAATCCCAGGAGGCAGAGGCAGGCGGATCTCTGTGAGTTCAAGGCCAACCTGGTCTACAAGAGTGAGTTCCAGGACAGGCTCCAAAGCTACAGAGAAACCCTGTCTTGAAAAAAAAAAAAATTGGTCAGGCTTATAACTTGCATACTTTTTCACTTTCTATTAAATATATATATTTTTTTTAAGTTTTTACCTTACAACAGAAATTTACTGTCTTATACTGTAGTCCTTATCTCATGGTTCTTTTTAGTGAACGAAACATTTGGAAGACGGGAGAGACTGGTTATTGGCAATGCAAAAGGCTTATCTGTTAATGGCCCTTGTGGGAGCTCCCAGACACCAATGGAGTCCTGACAAAGATCAGTCTCCTAGGATGCCTACATGAACTCAGACTTTCGAGAAGCTGGCCTAAAAATGTTCCGTGTGTACCTACAGCCATACAATGATGGAAGGAAAATTCAGCTCCTGTTGCCATTCCTCTGCAGCCTTGGCAGTCCACTGTCTGTGTGTCTGCCTTCAGCTGGGTACTGTACAGTTCTTGCATTTCTTGAAAATAAAAGTTTTTAGAGAATGATTCCTTAAATATGCCATCTGACCTAGAACTGTAGGTTTCTACTATATGTATAGCAACTGAAGAGTTCTGGAGACTGGGTCTTGCTGTATCAGCCAGCCTGCACTGGGGAGAAGGGAGATAGGAAAATTTCTAGCTGGTCTTCACCTTCTCAGGCTAGGATTACCAATATGCATGGTAGGTTCTAGAACTAGATTCAGGCCCATGTGTTTGCAAAGCAAGCATTTTACTGACTGTGCAGTTTCCTTAGCCCGTTTTTTTTTTTTTTTAAATGGGATTCCTAAAGGTACTTTCACCTTTTGCATATTAATCATATTTTTGACAGTGTTACTGTTAAAAAATGCTTTTGGTTACAAAGTTAACTTTTTTTCAGGACTGTTTTCTTTGTCCCAATATTTAAAAACTATTTTAGGGGAGTTGATATGAATTTTCTATAATCAAAATATTTAATAGACAACAAACTATCAGAGTATGCTGAATAAGTTTTGGTTCCAGTAAATTCTCCCTCTAGTTACTTCATAACCTATGCCTTCCTTTTCAGATGAATTTGAATGGCATTCATAAAGCGCTCTGGACTTAGATTGTACACTGTTCCCTTTATTTCACTTAGCCTCACAGGACAACTTTTCACTCAGTTCTTTCAAACTTCCATTCTCCTTTTAAACTTAGGCACTTGCTAAACCGATTTTGGAAGTCTTATGCTGTTAATACTTAAAGTGAATAGGATGTTCCCTTATTTTGAAGTATGTCATTAAAATACACTCGCTTATGCTGTAGTGAGTATTTTCAGAATGTTGGCTATTTCTCAAGCCTCATCAGAATTTGCGTGTGGCAGAGAATGAGGAAAGCGCAGGATATAGAACTAGGTCCTTTCTTAAAAACTACCTGTCACTCACTCCTGTCAGGCTTTAGTAAGACCCTATAAGCTGTAACTGTGAAGAAAAAATTAACACGTAGTAGGGTGTAATATACTTCCCCTTGCTAGTTAATTGCTTTGGTTCGAGATACTGTCCTGTAATTCACACATGACTCGATTTTCCAGATTTGCCTTTACTAAGTCAGGCTTACCAAGCACTTTACTCCTTATCTCTTCTGATAGGACCTTATCATTCCTGCTCCTAGACTTTAACACATCTGTGGTAGCATGCAACAAAACAGTATGCAGTCAACAATGCTCTTAGACTATAATGGGGTTGGAAAATCTCTGATGGGCAAGTTATAATGTAGCTGGCTATCCTGACATTCTAGCAGAAAGTATTGCTCAGTTTTGTGGGATGCTAGTATAAACCAACCCGATGTAACATCGTATGCAATACTTGGTAACTTGTTACTGTAAACCATCCAGCCATTCTACACAGCTTCCCACCTCAAAGTCTATGCCATCTAGGTTTGTGTAAATTATACCCTGTGCAAAACCATTTTATAACGATCATAATGCAGGACTCCTACACAACGACACAGTGCTTCAGAATCACCTGAGGCTTCACAGCCCTTAGGAAACCTGAATATGAAACCAGATGTTGGAGGTTCTGTAAAATACTATGCATAAACAGGCCTTAACTGTATGCTAATGAATTTGTTCTCATTCTTCCTACAATGCCTCAAACTGCTGGCTCTTTCTTTATATGGTTTCTTTTCTGTTTAATATTTTTATTTGAAACACGAAGCTATCATCCCCCAATAAATCCCAGAGACTCTGGATCCAGAGCCCACACTTACCATATCCTGTTGATGTGGCCACTGACCCAATCGTGGACAAGACCTCCTGCAACTAGGCAGAGAAGTGTTAGTCCCACTTAAACCCAAGAGGGCAAAGGTAGAAACACCACCATACATCCTCAGCAGAAATCTTCTGCCCTTCCTCCTGCCTTGGGTTGTTTTGGTGTTTAGCTTGAACAGCTCTAGATTGAAGAGCATCTCTGTGCAGGGCAATAAGGAATTTAATCAAGTGCATGCTCCTGAGAAAAGGAAGAAATTACTTTGAACACTATTAAGGCTTCATGCCTTGGTGTTAGCACTCACTCCGAGCCACACACAGCACTTGCCTTCGGCTGTAGACCTTCCTAGAAATCCCAGAAGTTGAGTCTGTCTAAGCACCGTTACACAGGAACAATTAGAATACGATCTCAGAGCTAAAAGCTTTCTTCTCTTTTAACCTTTGAGTCCATCCTCTACAAAAGATTATGAGAAATGCCTTATTTTCATTAAAAATTTTTGATTTTAATTCTTCCTAAAGAAATACAGATTTGAATGAAATACATTCATCCCATAAATACTTTAGCAGCAAAACCTTCCCAGCAGAGTCCTTCCTCTACTCAAGGTTGTTCCATCAACCCTGTCACCTTCAGGATGTTTCTGCTTCTTGCCAAAAGTGCTATGCCTGCTCACAGGGACCTGAAAACAGACCCACATGGTGACTTTTCTATCTTCCAAATCCTTTGGTATCCTCTACGCTTAGCTGGTGAGGACCTTTAGCAAGGAAGAAAACTGGGAAGGCCTAACTGAAACCCATCAATGCATTTGGAACTACATGTTGCTTGCAGTCAGCAACATTTTAATGGTTTTCATAAAGTAAACCTACATAAAAGATTATTCCCCTTCTTCCTCCTGTAGTCTTGTCAGGTGAGTCCATGACAGGAGACTACTCAGCAGACATTATTTGGATACTTAATTCTAGGTACTCTCTGAATAACAGAAGGCTTTCCTGAAGCGGAGACATGGCCAAACCATAATGGCGTGCATGTACACATAACCAGGTGGCTAACCTTGGCTTCCATTGGAGGTGGTTTTCTGGGCTTTTTCCTCTACCAGCCACTGTAGTCTGACCCATGACTGCTGCTCCCTTAACACCTGCTGAGATGGAGAAGCAGGATCTAAACTCGCAAGTGGCTCGATCTGCTGTGCTGCAATTCTTGCTGTGAGATGTACACCTTACAATAGTACATAATATGTGGTCAACAGTGGGGATGGCTGGGGTCAAATCATGTTGACTGGAGGAAAAAAGAATGGAACAATGAGATAAGTTAATTGGTAAGAACAAAAGGCCACGCTGATTCAGGCATAAATGCATCTCCCAAATTACTAAGCAAATAAAGAACAGATACCAAAAGCTGACCCTTTCCTTGCCACACATTGCATAAAAATGGGGCAGACACGTGCCTTGTCTCCAGTCCACCCTAAAGAATCCATCTGGATATTCCTCACTAACTGCCTTAGCTATCCCACTCAGTCAGTGAGTTGGAAGGATCAGAAAGCACTCCACATTAGAAACCACTGCAGTGCGTTGGTTCTGTGATTTCCCGATGCATGGTCCATCCGAGCAGTTTTCCTTCTATTTATGTGTGGGAAGAGGCTCGTCTGCTGAGTAAATGGCACTGCCCATCCTACAGTTGTCTGTTCTCACAGAGTCTGTAAGATCATCTTCTTCAGAGTCGTCCTCCTCCTCCTGTGCCGAGGAACTGGAGGCGGGCCCTTTGCAGGTCTTCAGGTGCCGAGTGAGATGGTACTTGGTTAGATAAGCCTTCGTACATTTCTCACAGACATAATCTCGTTTTCCTTCGTGAGAATTAAGATGCTTCTTCAAGTGGTTTGTTCTCAAGAACAGTTTATCACACTTCGGACACTTGATCTGGCGTTCCCTAAGAGGAACACAAGAACATCTGCTTTGTGAGTATAAATGACAAGCCACACACTCTCCCTCAACTAGGCCTTTGTAGGAATTTTTTAGAACTGGCTGCTTCTGCCTTCCTAGAGGACCATCCAGTACAGATTTCTTTCACTGAATATGAAACCTGTGAAATTCCTTCAAGTTACATAACTATAGTTTGTTCCTTTCCATTAATAAAGTATTTACAAACAAACAGTCTGCAACTGTCTTTCTGGAGACTTTCAGTTTTATATTTTCACAAGCAAGACTCCATGAACATTTATTTCTCTATTTGTGTTTTTCTTATATATACTGAGAAAAACACTTGCATCAAAAGATGCACCCATCTTTGATGGAGGAGGGTCATCTTTCTATGTTGTTTCATTGGTTAAGTAATAAAGAAACTGCTTGGCCTCTGATAGGACAGAAAATTAGGTAGGTGGAGTAGGCAGAACAGAATGCTGGGAGAAAGAAGCCGAGTCAGGCAGTCACCATGATTCTCCCACTCCAGACAGAAGCAGGTTAAGATCTTTCCTGGTAAGCCAGCTTGTGGTGCTACACAGAATATTAGAAATGGGTTAGATCAATATGTAAGAGCTAGCCAATAAGAGGTTAAAACTAATGGGCCAAGCAGTGTTTAAAAGAATATAGTTTCCTGCCGCTCTTCACAACACATCTTCAAGGTCAAAAAAGATAATTCTGTTTTAGGCACACTAACCAAGCACTGTACCACAAAACTACATCTTTCACCCCTAAACAGATCATATCAACAATATTGTCACCTCTAGGGGACCAAACTTGAATCCAATAGGACTAGCTGCAGAAACTATAGAGACCTGTGCCCTGATAAAAAGAACAATGACCACAAATTACATAAAAAACGGTTATAGAACTGTTAGGACCTGGGGATGTATCTCAGTGGTAGAGTACTTGCCTAGCATGCGGAGGAGCCTGATTTTGATTCATCGCGGACGCGGGCACACAAAAAGAAGAAGTATTAACCTATGTTTAAACCTCAGAGAGGACAAATGTTAGAATGAAAAGACAGAGGTTAACAGAAGCTCAACTGCTGTGGAATAATTCTGCACGCTGTAAAGATGTGAGAGCTGACTGGTCAGTAGCTAGGCGGGACTTGTGGACACAGAGAGAAGAAGGCTGTCCCAGGAAGTCACCATGAGATGCAGAGAGATGAACGTGCCATAAAGCATAGATAAGAAATATGGGTTAATCTAAAATGTAACAAGCCTAAGCTATCAGCTGAGCATTTATAATTAATAGTGTGTGGTATTAGGGAGCCAGTGGTCCTGATGAAAACAGCCTACATTCAAAAGGTGAACAAAACTTCCCCACAAATTTACACTGTGTGGTATTCAGAAATAACAACCCCATCTGCCAGAGACATTCTGAAAATTAGTATATCCCATGGCTGGCTCATTTTGCAAAGTGCCCAACATCCAACTTGATTATGGCTACTTTCTCCACTAGGATGCTGCTCTTACAGCGTTCTTATATGCATCTGCACTGATGAGAACATTTCCACGACCCCAGAGAGCTTTCAAGCTCTCACACAATACAACTTGTATTTAATAATCAGGGTCCAATTTTCCAAAGTTTCACACTAGAAATGAAACTAATGACTTTGTTGTAAAAGATCCTTTATAGGGCCAGCAAGATGGCTCACAGCAAGTCTGACAACTTGAGTTAAATCCCCAAGACCCACGTGGAGGAAGGGAAGAATCCACAGGTTGTCCTGACCTCCCCATGAAAACTATGGCATGCTTGTATCATACACACAAGCAAATACAAATCAATAAGCTTAAAAGATTCTTTGTAGTGGTAGCAGATACAGTGGTATCTCCCTGTGACCCCCGCTAATCAGGAGGCTGGGGTCAACCTGAGCTAATAACTAAGGTATAGATCATGGCTCTCAGCTGTGAAGTGTTTCTGGTTATACTGCGATTAGAAAGCAGGCAAAAGAGCTAGGATATAAAGCTCAAGCCGGGTGGTAGAGACGCAAGCTTTTAATCCCAGCATTCAGGAGCAGAGGCAGGCGGATTTCTGTGAGTTCAAGGCCAGGCTCCAGAGCTACACAGAGACACAGCGAATTCTTCCTCTTCTAACAGTTGTTCAAAGCTAAGGACAATGGACAACAAATTCTATTTACATCTGCCTACCACCACTATGACTACTGCAAGAGAGACCATTTCTTAGGCCCAGATTCAGTAAAACATTGCTAGGCAATCTGTTGCCTGGCATCCCCCTAAACCCCAGACCCCTTGAATTGCCCTCTGTCCACCTCACACAGCACAGTCTTCACAGAGGAGGTATGTCATGACACCCCTTTCCTTAAAGTCCCTCAGTGTCTGCACAACTACATAGATACAATATTGGTGAACTAAACTCTTAAAAAATGCTAAATTATTTTTCTGTTAACCACAATTTCAAAACACACACACACCCTCAGCACAGAACTACTCCCGAAGGCAGTGAGTAGGGAACTAGATCTGTCACAGCACACCAGCATTCTGAGAATGAAATTTAATTTCCTTGGTAGACCTTCAACAGGGAGTAGATGCCTGCTTAGCACTCAGAGCCTGAACTGGATCCCCAAACAAACAATGCATACCTGTGATCACAGCACCCACATTGCATTAGGTCACCCCTAACCACATGGTGAGTTCAAGGCCAGCCAGGGACACATGACATCTTACCTCAAAAAAGAGATAGTTCACGGCATAGGCTCTGCCTCTCACCACTCTCTCCAAAGTACTCTATTTTCTAACATAAAGAAACAGGTTTACAGGATGGTGGTAGCCAATGCCTTTAATCCTAGCACTCAGGAGGCAGATGTAGGTGGATTTCTTTGAGTTTGAGGTCAGCCTGGTCTACAGAGTGAGTCCCAATACAGCTAGAGCTGTTACAGAGAAACCCTGCCTAAAAAACAAAACTCAAAAACTAAAACCAAACAAACAAACAAAAAAACCACATTCTGCTTCTGTGTTTCTGCCTCTGCTATTTCACACCCTGATACCATCTAGAACCATCCATTCTCCTTACTTACTCCACCCATTTTCTTAATTCTAACTGACCTTATGACTAAGCTCAACCAGATCCCTCGGGTTGGCTTACGTACTCCTCTTCAGTATGGGGATTGGACCCCGATCTTAAACTAAACAACTGCTCTAATACTTAACTGTTTTGCCAACCCTTTATTTTGTTTTTAAGATCTATTTTTATTTAATGTGTGCCAATGTTTTGCTTGCACGTATTATCTCTGTACCACTTGCCTGCCTGGTATCCACAGAGGCCAGAAGAGCATGTTGGATCCCCTGGAACTGGAGTTATGGGTGGTTGAGAGCCTACATGTGGAACCATGGAATAAGATCAAAGTTTTCTGCAAGAGCAGTCAGTGCTTATAACTGCTGAGCCACCTCCCCAGCAGCCCTGTTGTTTTTGCTGGCCTCTAACTCACAATCCTCCATCTACCTCAGTGTCCTGGTGGACGAGACTATAGGAGTATACTGCTGTACCCGGCTGAAGTGCTGCTTCTCCAAGGTCTTCAACCTCCCATGCAAATCAGCATGGCAACTACTTATTGTTTCACATCCCAGACTTGAAGCTCTCTGAAGACCATGTCTTTCCTCTCCGTATCTATCTCCTAACACAACGCTGAGCATCAGAGGTCATATAAAAACAAACTGATAAGTGAGATGTTTTAAAAACAGATAAAAACTAAATAAAAACAATGAATGTATAAAAGGGGGCTGGAGAGCTCTTCCAAAGGACCCAGGTTCAATTCCTAGCACCCACGTGTCGGCTCACCACTGTCCTGTTGTAACTCCAGTTCTAGGGGACCCAACATCCTCACACAGACATACACTCAGGCAAAACAGCAAAGCACATAAAATAAAAATAAGTAAAATTTAAAAAAAAAAAGAGTGTATAAAAATAAGGAAAGAAACAGGGAAGTGAAACCTTCCACAATAAAACCCAAACACTGCTTGGCGACCTGGAACGAAGGAGGCAACAGCCTGAACAGGGGCAAGAACCAGACTTGCAGAGTACTTACTGTGTGTGGATGAGCACATGCTGCTTGAGGTCCTGCCTCCGCATAAACAGCTTGTCACAGTAATCACACTTGAGATTCTTCTCACCCGTGTGGATGACCATGTGGGACTCGAGGTGGGCTTTCTGGGTGAAAGACTTGTCACACAAAGTACACCTGTAATTCTTCTGACCTGCAGATTAACCCAAAACATCACACTGAGAATGAAGTGACTACAGATTCTCAGACAAGCAGGCACGTCTGGAGAACACAGTCCAAGTAAGAATCAAGCAAAACTGACATGTGCTTAGCACTTCATCCCCTATGTTACCTACCTAAAATCAGTCGAGGCCATTCCATTTATAACCTAAATTAAAGCCCGTAAACATGACCTCCTAAGACCTCTTAACTAAACGTACATATGGCACATGATACCAACTTTGAAGACAGAAAAACAAAAAGTATTATATCAGTGCCTAGATAATTTATAAGAATGTGGGGTTAGCAACGTAACCACTGACAGAATGCCTACCCAGCATACCTAAAGTTCTGGATACAACTAACAGCACCACATTAGCCAGGCATGGTGGTGCATGCCTCAGAGCCCAGCATTTGGAGAATGGATACAAAAGGGTCAGAAAATCAAGGCAGTGGCGTGCACCTTTAATTCCAGCACTCAGCAGGCAGGGGCAGGTGGATCTCTGAGTTTGAGGCTAAAGCGAGTTCCAGGGCAGTTAGGACTATTACACAGGGAAAAAGAGAGAGAAATTCAAGGTCATTCTCAGCAATGAAGTATGAGGCTAGCCTATAGCTAATGAGAGACAGACAGACAGACAGACAGACAGAGAGAGAGAGAGAGAGAGAGAGAGAGAGAGAAAACAACACACAAACTATAGCAATGTCTACAGGTCTATAGACAATATTTCCATTGAACAGTTTGCATTTTTCTTTTTTTTTAAACACAGTATGATCTCACAAAGCAAAAATTAAATCAAATCCTTCCAAGTATATTTTAAGAAAACTCTAGATCAGGGGTTGGTGGATGATATGGGGGGAGGGAGGGAAGAAGGGAGGGAGGGAGGGAGGGAGGGGGGGGGGAGGGAGGGAAGGAGAAAAGAAAAAGTACAGTGAGTGTTTCTGAAGGACACATGGTCTCTGCTCCAACCACCCAGTCTTAATGAAATGGAGACTGAAGAAAAAAACTCAACTTTGAGTGATTTGTAGAACAGACAAGTCAACCAGGAAAGTTAAAAATCTCACTGGTTATTTTGTAGTACGCATGAGGGAAAGAGCTGAGGGACTACATAAATGCAGACAAAATATCCATACACATAACACAGAATACAAATAAGTCATTTTTTTAAGAGCTGCAGAAACTGACGGAAGCTCAAACATGGGAACTGGGCAGTGTTTACTGAGCACTCCTGAATAACGGCAGGAAAAGCCTTTGTAGCTCTGATGGACTCCGTCTGCTAAAATGGAAGCAGTAGGATCAACTTCTGATTAGTTACATTCTTCCAGACTCCTTCAAGCTACACAGTAGGACTCTTTAAAATGAAATGCCTTTGTAACTGGAAGTAACACTCTTAGTAGCCTTAGGTTTCCCACCTCCCGAGGCTTACCACCCAGTGACATCCTACCTATAGCCATCTGGATACTTTCTATGATAATAGTACAACTTTACTTCCAATAATTTCTTCAGACAAGTCTTTATGGCTACAATTTCTAATTGCTATAAAAACTCCATGTCGATGGTTCAGTACAGCTTACCTGTATGTATTTTGAGGTGTGTCCGCAGGTTGCTTGGATCACTAAAAGCCTTGCTACAAAAATCACACTTGTGGGGCTTCATGCCCATATGACCCATAAAGTGAACGTGGAGTTTGGAAGGAGAGATAAAAGCCTGGGGGCACATGGAACACTTCCACTTCCTTTCCTTGCTGTGGCTCGGCCCGTGGCTGCTGCTGTGGCCCTGGCCAGGGATATGGCTATGGATGTGGCTGGTCAGATGAGCTTTGAACTCAGAATAGGAATTGCACTCCTTGCCACAGTTACAGAGGTGCACATCTGGGTGTTCAGGAACACCTTTAAAAAAATAAAATCAGTATCTCCTGTTACTTTAATTTCAAAATTATTCTTGGCATTAATTACCGATGATTAAAAGAAATCAAAGAATTTCCCTTTCTGCCTAAATGTCTAACTTGCTCACTACCCATCAAACCAAAACTCACTGTTCGGTGCCAAATTCCTGTCATCTAAAGTAGTACACCAGAACACACAAAAAGTACTTGGTAAACATGGGATTGTTAAGATCTTTTTCAGAAAGCATATTCAACATGTAGATGAATGAAAATAGACCCAAATCTATCACCATGCACAAAACTCAAGTTCAAATGGATCAAAGACCTCAACATAAAGCCTACCACACTGAACCATATAGAAGAGAAAGTGGGAAGTACATTTGAATGCATTGGCACAGGAGACCACTTCCTAAATATAACCCCAGCACAGACACTGAGAGAAACAATAAATGGAACTTCCTGAAACTGAGAAGCTTCTGTAAAGCAAAGGACATGGTCAACAAGACAAAAATGGCAGTGTACAGAATGGGAAAAGATCTTTACCAACCCCACAGCAGACAGGGGGCTGATCTCCAAAATATACAAAGAACTCAAGAAACTGGTCATCAAAAGAATAATCCAAGAAAAAAAAATGGGGTACAGACCTAAACAGAGAACTCTCTACAAATGACTCTAAAATGGCTGAAAAAAAACACTTAAGGAAATGCTCAACACCCTTAGCCATCAAAGAAATGCAAATCAAAACAACTATGAGATTCTATCTTACACCTGTAAGAATGGCCAAGATCAAAAACACTGAAGACAACTTATGCTGGAGAGGTTGTGGAGTAAAGCGAACACTTCTGCATTGCTGGTGGGAGCACAAACTTGTACAGCTGCTTTGGAAATCAGTATGGCAATTTCTCAGAAAATTAGGAAACAATTTACCTCAAGACCCAGCAATACCACTTAAGGGTATATAACCAAAGGATGCTCTATCATACTACAAGGACATGTGCTCAACTGTGTTCATAGCAGCATTATTTGTCATAGCCAGAACCTGGAAACAACCTAGATGCCCCTTGGCCGAAGAATGGATAAAGATGTGGTACATTTACACAATGGAGTACTACATAGCAGGAAAAAAAAATGACACCTTGAAATTTGTGGACAAACGGATGGATCTAGAAAACATCATACTGAGTGAGATAACCCAGACCCAGAAAGAAATACAATATGTACTCACTCATAACTGTCTTTTAAACATAAAGCAAAGAAAAACCAGCCTACGATTCACAATGCCAGAGAACCTCAACAAAGAGGACCCAAGAGAGACATGTATGAATATAATCTACATGGGAAGTAGAAAAAGACAAGATCTCCTGAATAAATTGGGAGCATGGGATCATGGGAGAAGGTAGAAGGGGAGGGAGGAGGAAAAGAGGGAGCAGAGAAAAATATATAGCTCAATAAAAATAATTTTAAAAAATTAAAAATTTATGTGAAAAAAACAGGCTTAAAAAGAAAAGAAAATGCATATAGACAGTCATAGAAGAAAAGTAAATGATTTATAAATAACAATAAAAAAGAATAAGCCAAAAAAAAAAGGATCTTTTTCCTTGGGAAATCATTTGCATTTTGAAGTGCACAGAGTCTTAAACTTGTCAATGTAACACACTGGAAAGAGGCAAAAAACACATAAAATCAAACCCAAGGGACTTTGCTAACTTTCAAGAAGTTCAAAAAAGCAATTTCAGGGATTTGCAAGCCGTGATTCAAAGTCTACCACAAAAGATTATTTATTTGAAACAATAACAACCTAGTGAAGAACTACAGATTTCTGTCACCTCACACATAAAGAGCTAACAACTTGCTTTCATAAAGCTACCACTGTGAAATCTATCATGCGAGATTTGTTTGTATTGTTCTCAAAACTGCCAGTGGAGTTAAACCTTGATTTAGAGGGTGGAGTCCAATTCAGCTGACTATAATAAACCATAGAGTTTTCAGGCCAACCCAGATGAAGATAGAAAGCCACAGAGAGGAAGGAGGACTTGGAAAGACCGACAGGTCTTTTCAATCTGGGAAGGTGGAGAAGATGTCCAGCTGACCCTTGCTCCATCGCTCCGTGGATCTATCAGGTTTATTCCCTAATACATGACTCCCGAGCTTTATTTATGAACAATAAAAGTAGTGGCAAACTCTCTTAATGGTCACAGACTTACCAATTTGTTGAGCATAATCCCGGCTATAATAGAATAGCAGTTCATTTTCAGGGGGGATGTCTTGTGAGGTACAGAAATAGATTTTTCCATCATGGGGATAAGCCACCAAATTTTGTTCTTCACGGTTCCTACATAGTCACATGGAAAAGATCAATCAAGTATAAAAGAACAGACCTCATTATGTTGCTCAGGCTGGTTGTAAACTCCTGGCCTCAATTAACTTTTCATTTAGCCTGTCAATTAGCTAGGGCTACAGGTGTACACTACCATACTTGGCTTAAGGGTGCTTTTTATTCAGTGCTGTGCATCAAACTAAAGCCTTACACAAACTAGGCAATCAATCCTACCACTAAGCTACATCTCCTACCCCTTAAGTACAGTAATTCTGAATATACACTAGACATGTCAAGTCCTCTATAGCAGAACCCAATATAAAAGCTCAGACGGAACTATTCTATCATTTCTGTCATTCCCTATCTACCCTATTAGGGATTGTGAAAAAACACAATTCTTACTGGGTTACATAGGTGGTTATCCTTTACAGTCAGAAAAACTACAGACTGTTACTAGATGCACAATGAGTAAACAGGTACCTAGGCATGGGTAATTCACACCCGTAATCCTAGTACTCAAGAGGTAGAGACAGGATTGCTCCAAGTTCCAGACCAGCCTGATATACATAATGAGATCCTATCTCAAAACAATCAAAAGATAAATCAAATGAAGTGTTCCTGTTAATGTTGAGGGTCCCAATCGTGTTCAAGCTAACTGGCCTAGAGCTTGTAGAGATCCTCCTGCGTCAGGCTCCCAAGTATTAGGTGCTGGGTAACATAGGCCTGAGTCACAATGCCCATGAACCCTTAAAATTTTCTTTATGCCAAATATATAAAGACAGAGAGCTAACAAAAATTAACTCCAATAAAAGTCTGAAAAAGACTATCACTGATATGAAGAGGCATTCCCTGGCAAACTCATGGATGAGTGTATCATTCTTCACTGCACCAGAAGCTGAATAAAATGTTTATTTAAAAAAGACATACTCTGCTTTACAGTCACCCAATCAGCTACAATAGAATGAATGCCGAAAAGGCTTGGGCTTTAAGCATGTCAAGTGTGGTAACTTGTGTTCTGCACATTTCGTGTAAAGTTTCCTACTGAAAAACTACCTGAATGGTAACAGCCCCCATCTGAACCCCCTTACCTGGCTTTGCGCACAAACATCATCCAGTTACACTCATTTTCATCAGTTGTAATGATGCAGAATTCTAGGACACCACTGTGATAGATCTGCCATCAGAAGGCAAGCACACACAAGAGAACTCGGTGAGTAATGAGCTAGCGCCCTCTCTATGTTCATGTCACCCCCTTCCTGCCTCCAGACCCACAAGAGCGAGCATCAGCAGTCTTTAGGTGCTGCTCCAAGTACAGAATGAAGTCATTCTTGAATGCCTTTTGGCTAAGAAGGTAAAATAAAGTCTACCTGTCTGTCTTTACCAACACTACAAGGTAGGTACAGTGGGAATGACTGTCTCCTAAGGGCAGAGGATTACCCCTACCCATTTTTCCAGTCAGACATCCAAATTAAAGTCTCCTATGATGTACTGCCTCCCTGTTTCACTTTTGTACCCAGCATTCTTTAAGATTCTATATTAATATGCTACTAATATAGCTACTGATGTCAAAACCTTATGTTCCCATTAGGAAACTAGAGAAATAATTATAACTAATTCTAGAACTATTCCTTATTTCAAATATTAAAGGAATGTTTAGTTAATTAAAAGTGACTTTTATGTCAGGCATGCCTTTAATCCCAGCACTCAGGAGGCAGAGGCAGGCAATCTCTGAGTCTGAGGCCAGTGTGGTCTATGAAGTCAATTACATAGATAGTCAAGACTACACAGAAAAACCCTGTCTCAAAACAATGAAACTGAAACTAAACCAAAAAAAGAAAAAAAAAACACATTTATTTTATAAACAAAGTTCTAGCTTCAGCAGCCACAAGAAATCAAAATGCGTAAAATGATTCAAATGAGAGCTAAGATAGCCTGATGGCTAAGAGCAGGAGCTACTCTTGCAGAGACTCTGGGTCCAGTTCTCAGCTCCCACATGGAGACTCAAAGTATGTGTAACTCCAGTTCCAGAGACTCTGACACCCTCTTCTGGCCTCTACAGGTACTGCACAAAGTGGGACACATGCATTCAGACACACATAAAAAATACAGATAAATCTTTGAAAGAGACCAAAATCATTGCAATAATCCATACAATGAAAACTGATTCGGCTTATCCCCTATTTGTTCAGCAGCTGGTACACTGCTGTAATGCTTTTACACCAGAACTAAGAGAATGTAATACAAAATAAATAATGGACAGGTGAATGCACTCTCAGTCTTACATAACTTTGACTTGTCCCTTTTTAAACTATCACAAAATAATGAAAACAACCCGAAATGTCAAGCCTGACGGTGGCATGGATAATTCCAACATTTGGGAAGCTGAAGAGGAGGACTCAAGAGATTGAAGCCAGCGTGGGTTACAGCAGCAGCCAAAAGTCAGAGAAGTTCACACTGACCTTCCAGATGTGGTTAACTGCCTTGTCTGTCCACTCTGCTACTTCCATGGAGTGACTCTGCTGACCAATTAGAGGCCCAAAGCAAGTCCGCACAGGAATGGTTTCTGCAGTCCATACACCTATCAATGGAAGGACACCAACCACAGAATGGAACAGCTAACAAGGGTACTGAGGCAGGAGCTCAACCAGCACAAAGAATCTCATTTCACTAACGCTAACAATTTCTGATATGTCAGCCACACTAGACAGCTAAGACTTGTGGGTCCAAGCCTACAGTAACAGACCAGAAAGATGGGTCAGTACTTGCCCTGAAAGCCTGATGATTCCACTACCAAACATTGTTCTCTGACCTTCACAAGTGTTTCATGGCATGTGTGCACATGTATTCGCACAAACATGCCAAGTGTACACACGTGCACACATACATTAAACTGAAATGCAGAAAAAGCAAAATCAAATCCCTCTGTATACACACAAAACCTACATCCCCCTCCATATTATTTTGGAATAAGCAAGAGACCAGCGAACAGTTTATCAAAAAAAGCAATTTATATAAATTAAGCTCCTGAAATATCTTATTGCATGTATTATCTGAGATGTTTAGTGTTTTCAGGATTCATCCCTGAGCTATGGCTGAAAGATAATAAACCTAATTTCATATTTCCAAAGGGCACAGCATGGTGGCATAGTAGTTGTGACTGGATGGAACAGCTGAGAACAGAGGTCTCCACAGACTCAGGCCAGGATTTGTCTTTCTGTTCAATTCTGACTCTCAGGAGAGACTTCAACCCTAAATTTTCATAGGCTTTATTGTTCTCACCATCAGACGTCAGCTATTCCCTAACAGTATACATTTTAAATCGCTGACTTCTATCTGGATCAACAAATCACTAATTACACACAGACTGACAACTCCATCCCATAAGGAAAGGAAACTTCCAGTATTCTTACCGACTTCTGTCCCCACAATGGATGGACGGAGAACAAGTTGCTTTGGGAGGGACAGCCTTGCTCTGCTCTCTATTGGTGCATCAGGAACAAAAGTCACTGGGCCATGATCAGGGCAGTCTGAGGGATAGGCTCGGTCACAGAGAGTGCACCCTGTAGACAGCAAGTGTGAAAGACACAGATGGCATAGTACATGTAAGTTAAATTTCCATTTGGTATCAAATGCTAATTACTAAATTAACCAGTAAGAAGGGTCTTAATTACATTTATCATAGACTTTAAATACCAATACAGAGGGGCTTCTCACTGACTGCCTTCTGAATTTTGGACCCGATTGTTCACTCTATGCGAAAGCTCTTCAGACGGTTTCATCCCACTGCCATGGCCATGCCTCTAGGTAATCCCTCCTGAGCTCCATTAGACATCTCTACTGAACACCTTACACACTGAATCAGCATCTAAACGGATTCAGCCCCACCTCCCAGGATAACGTTTATGTAATGTCTCATGGAGGAGACAGAGCTTTCTTTCTAACACTTCCCCTTATGTTACCTGCATGCTCTAAATGACAATTTCACAAAAGGTTTACTTTTTCATCTTACTTCTATGAAGACAGAAAATCACCTTTCATTGAAATTCAGCATTACCTCCCTCCAACAAATCTAACGGCTCACAAGGCAGAACCCCATACCAGCCCTTACTCCTAGAACCCTTACGGGTACGTTCTGATCCTACCTGTCTCCCAGGAGACTGATGCCTCAGCCCTATTTTCCACTGCGGCCATCTGAACCATGTATGATTCTTTTCATTCTAGGCAAGTGCAGGTGCCAACGCCTGTCTTCCTACAATGTCCTCAGGACTACGCTAACACATATGCTGCCCTTTGTGGCTGGCGTGCTGACCCTTCCACACCAGGTTACTTGTTCTTCAGACTCGTAAGCACCATGAATCCCATCATGATACATTTACTGCTATTATTACTACAGTGGCCTGTGTTTCGTCCATGCTTCCCATAAGGCACAAGTCCTCAAGGTTTGTACTCTTGGTAACTGTGCCCTGCCCCCTGCATCTGGCAGAGCACAGCAGACAGTGCGCAGATGAAGTTTCTTGCATGGCTTAAGAACAAAGTGAAAACCAACAGATCAACCATTTTGATACAGAACATTTACATGCCTAACTATCGTAATTCATACACTCTAAGACAAACCACTGCATAGCAATACACATTTCCCAAAGTTATAAAAGTGACCTAGCATTTTTATCTTCTGGCACATGCTGTAAGAGCACAATGTGTATCATCAAGATTACTTGTGTCAAGTTTCACTCCTGTAAGGCTGTTTGAGAAATACCTTCATATCACAGGGCTACAACTAACTGGTAAAATACAGACATGACTATACTGTCTGCTCCAAGAAATCAATGTAAGAACCAATAAACTGCACATATATTATCTGACTTGAAAAAGTGGCATCAGATTAGTAAAAGGATAATACGAGGGCAAAGAAAAATACCAAAGTGAAATTCCTTGCTATACTCCCTTAACTAACTAACATCAGACTATACCAAACACTAGTCAAAACAATGGCATTCTAAAACCAGTATTGAGCGGACTCAGCAATTAAGAGTACTCACTACGCTAGCAGAGGATCCAAGGTTTGGTTCCCAGAACCCATATGATGGCTCACACTATCTGTAACTCCAGTTCCAAGGAATCCAACACTGTCCTAGTTTCTGCAGGCACTAGGCATGCAGGTGATACATGCACATGCATGCAGGTAAAACCCTCAAACACATGTAATTTTAAAAGACAAAACCCAGAAGAGAACAGAGAAGCACACTCACAAATTGTAAACAAGGTTGCCATATTTTCCTTGTTTGAATTGGAGTCTTCCATTTGCAGTGAAGGTGGTACAAAAGCCAAGCTGTCTGAGGATACATCTACATGACCTGTCCCCATAGCAACCTCCTGCGTGATGGAAGAAACAGCCACAGGCTCTAGGCTAAGGCCAACTTCATGGAGGGAAACAGATTCTAGAGAGGCGAGGTTGTGTGAGGTAGAGAGTGCCACGCTTACAGAGTTGGTGCTCATGGCCACAGTGTGGATGGAGTCACTGAGGGCGCTGTCAGACATCCCATTGACCCGATTTGCAATGTGGTCTGTCTCCATGACCACAGGAAGCTCTAGACCACTCCCATGAATGGGCATCACACCACCATGTCCTACAGTATCTGCTGTCAGGTTGTTGCCCACAGAATCCACTGAGAGAGGTTCATGACTTCTGGAGCCATTGGGGATTTGCGAATGGTCTCCTGCAACACCATCCATTGTAAGCTCCTCTGCCATTCCATCTGTAGAGATTGGGCTGGTAACCCTAGAAACATTCTCCATAGTGATTGTTGTGTCCAATGCCACTTCATGGCCATCATTAGGATGAAGACTTTGGGCACCATGTGTGTTCACAGAACGAGAGTCTATTGAAACAACACCTAATTCTAATCCAACATTTCCATTGGCCTGATAAGGATCTAGTGCTGAAGGGCTGTTGGTGATAGACAACGCTGTATTACCATCAACATTTATAGAGTTGGGGTGGATGTACTGAGGAGGCGGTCTGTCAGCCAAGTAAGATAAAATGCCTGAGAAAAGAAGAGATATCAGAGAAGAGATATTATCACACTATTATTATATATAAGAAATTTCAAGTGCTAGAAACCATTTTCCTTACAAATACAACTGAGTTAAAGATCCTGCTACTTCTTTAATCAATATCTATACAAGTAGTACATACACCATTCTGAGTTTCTCTATGAAACTCAAATCCTAAACACATGAAGCTGATCTGACAAAGCCAACTAGACACACCCTAAATGGGATCTCTAATCTTTATGTGGTCCTCAATTCTTCGGTCCTAAGATGCTAAAAGCTGCCCCACAAAAAGTAAATAAATAAGAAAAAGAAAGATAGGTAGGTAGATAGCCAGCCAGGCGGTGGTGGCGCATGCCTTTAATCCCAGTACTCAGAAGGCAGAGGCAGGAGTATCTCTGTGAGTTCAAGGCCAGCCTGGTCTACAGAGCGAGTTCCAGGACAGCCAGGGCTGTTACACAGAGAAACGCTATCTCAAAAAACAAAATAAACAGATAAATAAAAAAATAAAAATATGTAAATAAGCAATAAAATGATTTAAGAACTTTTATATAAAATTATCAAAGCAAACTGATTCAAAACAAAACTACAGAAACTTTTTTTTGTGGGGGACCTGTTAGGCTCAGATCCAGGGTCTCAAAAAGAAAGTCTTACTATTAAACTACTTCTCAAGTCCACAGCTATGCGTCTAAGGCTATGGGATGTCATCTGAGGTACTTCTGGTGGGAGAGAATATATTAAAACACAGCACATTATGAACCCAAAAATGACCACACTGTCTTGAATAAAATGTTTCATTTACAAGAACCTTCCCTAAATGCCTAAGTGTATTTTGTAAATGTACACAAAGACACCAGAATAGTTAAGAACATCAGCTATAATGACAATAAAACCTGGAAAAACCAAGCTGCCCAACAATACTGAATTACATTCAGTAGTCTGTTCTGAGACAGACACAGTCTAGTCTACATTCCTGATATCCTTGCTTCAACCTCCTAAACATTGGAATTACCAGTATGCTATCTAAAAAGACCATTATGGGTGTTGGGCTCGAAGGCACACTCCTGTAATTCCAGCACTTGGCACAGAGGCAGGCATGGGTCTGAGTTCAAAGTCAGCCTGGTCTACACAGTGAGTTAGTTCTTAGGCCGGCCAGGGCTACACAGTGAAAACCTATTTCAGAGGAGGATGGAGAGAGGGTATGAAAACCATTGCAGTAGCAGGACAAACACAAAGTAAAAGAGACACACAACGGTAGAGAATCGTGGTCTTAAATCATGAAAACCATAACCATCAGTACTCCCAAAAACAAAAAACCACAAGTCCAATAGAAGGACAATATGGCTTCCCTTTCTCCCTGTTTGCCAAACTGTCTGAAAGAGTATATATAATACTTTTATAACAGAATAAAAAGTCAAACTTTAAGCAGTACAGATAGCTGGTAAACTAGAATTACTACAGAATCAATATTCACTTTATATAAAAACTGGTTAGCTGGAGTTGGGGGGTTGCGGATGGTGCACACCTTGAATCCCAATACTCAGGCAGCAGAGGGGTGATCAAGAGCAGCCTAATCTACAGAGTGAATTCCAGGACAGCCAGGACTACACAGAGAATCCCTGTCTCAAAAAACCAAAAATAAATACATAAATAAATAAAACAAAATCATACCATAGGGAACTGAAAGATTACTCAGCAGACAAATCACTGCTATGTAACTCTAAAGACCTGAGTTTGTATCCCCAATGCCCAGTAAAATTCCAGGAGGGTGTGGTGACCCACCTATAATCCCACAGATCACTGAAATACAAACTATTAACTCAGCATGTTCTGGGTCCAGTGAGACCCAGCTTCACTCTGTAAGGTGGAAAACAACTGAGTAAGACAACCAGCATTAACCTCTAGCCTCCACTCGCACCAACACACACCTGCACACTCATACACATGCAAAGAAAAAAACATAACATAAACCAGGTGTGGTGGAGCTCATTTATAATCCCGACACTGAGTTTGAGGCCAGCCCTGCCTACACAGCAGATTCCAGGACTACAAGCAAGACCCTGTCTCAAACCAACAACAAAAATTCCCATGCCTGCCAGGTGGTGGTGGAGCAGGCCTTTAAAGGCAGATGGATCTCTGTGAGTTCGAGGCTAGCCTGGTCTACAAGAGTTAGTTCCAGGACAGGCTCAAAAGCTAGAGAAACCCTATCTTGAAAGCCAAAAAAAAAAAAATTAAAAAAAAAATTCCTCATGTCTGTAATTTAGTACTTTGAAGGTGGAAGGCAAGAGAATTGGAAACAAGGTTATTCTCTGCTATATAGGCAGTTGCCCAATCTCAAAATAAAGGGCTTCAGAGTAGCTCAGTGGTAATATGCCTTTGTATCATGCATGAGGCCCTAGGTTCAATCCCCACCAAAAAACCAAAACCACTTCAAGAAACCATAACAATTTTAAAAGATTAAAACTACACTATTAACACTATGAAAAAGAATTATCTTTACCAAACTGCTTCTTTCATATTAAACCATATGCATGTTCTAAGCAAAGCATACAATTATCAACAAATCCAGAGACTGCTATCCAATAACGACAGAGAAAAAGATATTTAATCCTTAATTTCCAAAAACTGAGGTCAGAATGGTTCCGTCCACCTCCCACACACAACCATAAAACTTACCAGGTAGAAGGGTTCCATCCCCCATTCCCCTATCTTCCCCCAACACAACAACTATAAAACTTACCAGGTAGAATAGTTCTGAAGTAACTGCTCTCTAGGTGAGGGTAAGGCGGTGGAGGTAGGGTGTAGTTTCTTTCGGGTAACCCACACATCACCCCTCGATCTCCAATGCCCATGGGGAGCATCAGAGACAAGGCAGAAGGCAGAGAGCTCAGGGAGGGACCCAGGTTTGGAATTGCCACTGGGAGACCTTCAAAAAAATTTTTTTTCTTAATTAGTATCTTAGATTAGTATCTAAAAACCACTGGCAAAACTTAGAATTTAGAGAAACAAAAGAATCTCCCTGGTAGCCCTTTGTAACCCAAGACACTATTGGATAACAACTATACCATAACCAAACATTCCCAGTCCCCAGATTACTTCTCAGAAAGGACCTATGTAGCCCAGGCTGACCTATGACCTAGTGGAATGCAGGGATTACAAGTGTGCATGACAAAACTTGGCCCTCAAATTAGTGTGTACGTGTGCACATCGTTTTTAAAGTGCTAAACTGGTCCTCCAGTTGTTTCTCCCAAACACCAAAACAATTAACAATCTAGTTTGAATAACAACTGAGAGAACAAATTACTTTAAAAACAAAAACAAATGGGCTGGAAAGATGGCTTAGTGGTTAAGAGCATGTACTGTTCCAGCAGGACCAGAGTTCAGTTCCCAGCAGCCACATCACTGTAACTCTAGCTCCAGGCCAGAACCTCATTTGCATATACTCACACTTCACTACAAAGAGTAAAAAATGACTCCTTAAGGTAAATAAACATTTAAAAAAAAAAAAAAAAAACAACTGTCCACAGGTGTGGTCTCTTGCAGTTAATTTTTTTTTTCTGGTTTTTCGAAACAGGGTTTCTCTGTTGCTTTGGAGCCTGTTCTGGAACTAGCTCTTGTAGACCAGGCTGGCCTCGAACTCAGAGATCCTCCTGCCTCTGTCTCCCAAGTGCTGGGATTAAAGGTGTGCCACCACCACCCGACCAGTGGTGGCTTTTTTAAAGCTTTATTTACCCTTTTTAATCACTATACATTTCACTTTTAAAACACTCAAATGCTTGGCATGGTGGTGCATTACTGTAATCCCAGTACCAAGAAGGCAGAGGCAGAAAGATTTTGAGTTTAAGCCAAGCCTGGGCAACATAGTGAGAGACCCTATCTAAAAATGTAACAAACAAAATCCAGGTATGTCTATACTTGGAATCCATCCACATTAAAGTTAGATATGTGTTTCTTTTCAGCCCTTTCTCTTCGTGTTATACTCTATAATCAAAACAGTTTGAACTTTACCCACCCTGGATTATATCCATGTACGAAATGCTTAAACGACCTTTCCTGTGCCCAAGCGTTAAATGAAAACCCACCAACTTAGTGCTGATTTGCATATTTTGGTCAAAGGGAGTATTTTTTAATATAAGCCTTTTCTTAAAGACTATCTTCTGAAGAAATGCCTAAGAGATAAACAGACAGGTTAACAGTTCTTTTAAAGTTTCAAAGTCAAGGCTGGCCTTCAACTCCTCCTTCCTGCCTATACGCCTACATGCTGAGGTTATAGCATACACCATTATGCTTTTATAACTTTATTCTGTGGGGTTGGAGAGATGGCCCAGCTAAAAGCATTTGCTACACTTATAAAGTGCCCAGGTTCAGAGTGTTAGCACCCACATGGTAGTTCACAACCATGTGAAACTTCAATTCCTCCCTATTTTGGTCTCTGTGGGCACAATGCACACATGTGGTATATACAAAAGTGATCCTGGGTCTGCCTCAGATTATCAGTGTGTAAAGAAGCACCATGTTTTCAACAAGAATCCAACAAATCACACAAATAAACTTTAATTTTTTAAAAATCTCTTGTGTTGACACTTTAAGGAAGGAAATGCTAATTTTAGTTAATCTGGCTTGGCTGCTGCATTTTATTATTTCAGGATAAAATTTTCTACAAATAACTACTTAAACATCTTTTACACAATAGTTAAAATACTAAGCATAAGTCCAATACAACATTATGAGGCTACATATCCTTAACAATCAATAGTTTACTCATTTCTCATTTCAATAGGAGAGGGAAAGAAAGTAGAGAAAGGGTTTCAGAGACAGGTGTGGTGGCACAGGCCTGTAATCCCAGCACTTGAGAGGTGGAGCCAAAGGATCAAGAGTGCAAGGTCACTCTGGTTATATTAAGACTGGGGTCCAGGGGGCTGGAGAGATGGCTCAGAGGTTAAGAGCACTGGCTGATCTTCAAAGTTTCCTGAGTTTAAGTCTCAGCAACCACATGGTGGCTAACAACCATCTGTAATGAGATCTGGCTCCCTTTTCTGGCCTGCAGGCATGCGTGTGTGGACAGAACACTGTATACATAATAAATAAATAAATCTTTAAAAAAAAAAAAAAGACTGGGTTCAAGACCTCTTCTCAAATAGAACAAAATCTCCCAACAACAAAAAAAGGAGTTAAGTGTTTAGGCCTAGGAGAGGAAAAAAATGAGCTTCCTCTCCTGTTTCTGCCCATGCTCACAGGGAGTCCCACATAGCTCCATCTCTCTCACCACTTTCTCACAAAGCCAGGCCTTGCATGTTCCCACAAATGCTCAGTTTCCAACCTAAAACAAGCCCAATTAAATGTTTCGGGAAGTTCAGAGAAAATTTAACCTAATCCTCATCTATTAATTAGGGACAAAATGTCAGTGTCAATCAGTTGAGTATGAGAAGCCCCGGATAAAAAGCCAAGTCAATTTCAGCTGTAAATGAAAGAGAGTACCCCAAAAGAAAAAAATGCTACTCCCATTAGGATGGTGCAACTACACAAAACCCTTGGCAGAGGCCGCTCACTAGTTTCTCTGTTGTACCCTGAAACACACTCAGAACTGACTGAACACAATGTTTGAGTGCAGTGGCTCCCACTCACCTGGGGCAGAGATGGTGCTGTGAGAGGGAGAGGCAGCCAAACCCAGGTGACTTCCTGAGACTGGCAGGGCATTGCTGACAGAGGATGAAGACAGCTGCTCCATCCCCACTGGGCTCAAATTCATGTCATTCATCCTAGGAAAGAGCATACACCACCTCAGTAAGCTCATGTTAAAAGAGCCAAGACTCTGGGGATGGGGAATGGAACCTGACCAACTGCTCTGCACACACATGACTCGAAAACCACAAGAAGGACTGTGATTCTGAGTTAACTATGCAGGTCAATGTCACATACCATACACAGGACTTGAATTCAATCTACCTTGTTCCAAAACCTACACAAGCACCAAACACACAAGCCAACAATCTTCAGCTCTGGCTATAGTGGCTTATTTTGTTTGTTAAACCACCCAATCTTTTCTTCTCATGGTAGGTACTATTTCCATTGGGCTTACCTGCTCAAACCAGTAGCTTTTAGACATTCTATTTTAAAGTACTTGAAGTTTTACTAACCCTCTTTATAGTGAGGTAAAGGTAATCCTGGGTCTGATTCATATTGTCAATGGCATAAAGAAGCACCATGCTCGCCCAAGGATCTCACACACTGACAGTCAAAAGTATCCATACCTTATTGACCAACAGCCTTAATACCCTCACACACTGACAGTCATCAGTGTCCATACCTTATTGATCAACAGCCTTAATACGCTCAGTTATCAGTGTCCATACCTTATTGACCAACAGCCTTAATACGCTCACACAGTCATCAGTGTCCATACCTTATTGACCAAAAGCCTTAATACCCTTAAACACTGACAGTCATCAGCATCTAACAGCCTTAATACCCGCACATAGGGCCATCAAGCAAGCTTTGCTAGAACTCTACTAAAACAACTTTGAATCTTCAAAACTAATTCTGCAAAGTAAGGCAAATGAACAATTAAGGCTCAAAGATAAAATATTTGCCTCAAATCACAAAGCAGCTCAATAAAAGGGCATCAATCATCCTGTAAAGGACTGCCAAAGATGTTCCAACACATCAGACTCTTAAACACAGATCATTTTCAGAAGGCTGAAGAACCAAGAAATCACCTTTTCTGTACAGCCCTTCTTGAATGTCACTGAGCACATTTTACAAGAGTAATAACGAGTGAAAATGCCACACACTGCGCCCCCATGTCTGCGCTCTGTGCGCTGGCACCCAGTTCATGAGCTTCAGGCAAGGGGGCTGGAGGTTAAAATACACAGACACACACAGACAGAGACAGCGACACAGGTCATCCTTGAATTCCCCAAGAATGCCCCCTTTATTGCGTTCAGGGGCAGATTATATAGAGATAGCCATGCCCCAGCCAAACCCACCAGAAACCACTCTCCTGCCATCAGGAACTCCTGAAGGTCTCGTGCTCAGAGCAGCTGTAGGCACTCAGATCAGGGGAAAACAAGTTGTTTACAAGGAATTCAGGATCTGGGGTCTCACTGCTCCCAAAAGAAAAGGCCATTAACTGCCATTGTTATGTACAGGCATTAGTTTTAGTTAGCTGGGATGGCACAGAAGTAGGGAGGCTAAGGCAGAAGGGTGGCCACAAGTTCCAAGCTTACCCTGTAGTGAACATAAACTCAATGCCAGTCTAGACTATATAGCAATAGGGCTGGAGAGATGGCTCACGGGTTAAGAGCCCTGCTGCTCTTCCAGAGGACCATGTTCAGTTCCCTGCATTCACACCTTCTCAAACCTTGTACTCCAGCTCCATGGAGTTTCACACCCTCCTAAGGCCTCCAAGGGCACCTGCATACACAGGATAGGCAGGCGCACACACAAAACACATATAATTAAAAATAAGTATTTTCAAATATATAGATAGATATTGGTTTCTTTTTTTTCTTTTCTCACTCTTGACTGTTATCAAGTCATTTCTTTTTTAATTAATTAATTAATTTATTTATTTATTATGTATACACTGTTTTGCCTGGGTGTATTCTTGTATACCAGAAGAGGGCACCAGAACTCATTGCAGATGGTTGTGAGCCACCATGTGGGTTGCTGGGAATTGAACTCAGGACCTCTGGAAAAGCGTTCTTAACCTCTGAGCCATCTCTCCAGCCCGTACATATGGGTTTCTAATCAGGACTTAGAGACCATATTATCGTTTACAGACGATGGACAGAACACAATTCAAATGAAATCTCTAACAGCCTCCCACCATACTCTGTACTTAAGAAACAATGGGTTAGGTAATTTACTCCTGCCTCTCCTACACTGCATACTTTAAGGCTCTATGATGCTAAACCTTCACTGTCAACTACAGTGGACTTAGAATCACATGGGCACACAGCTCTGACTGTCTATGAGGGTGTTTCCAGAGAGGTAAGATGCAGATTGGGCAGTGGTGGCACACACCTTTAATCCCAGCACTCAGGAGGCTGTTAGAGGCCAGCCTGGTCTACAGAGCGAGTTCCAGGACAGGCTCCAAAGAAGCTACCCAGAAAAACCCTGTCTCGAAAAGCCAAAAAAAAAAAAAGAAAAAAAAAGACAAGGTAAGATACACACTGAATGTGGTGGGGAGATCCCGTACTAAATAAATAAAAATGAGAACGCAAACCCACCACCAGCATTTCTCTTTGCTTCCAGGTTACAGGCTGCAATGTGACTGACTAGCCTCCCACCATGATGGATTGTGTCCCCTTGAACACAATACACCATCTTCCTTAAATTGCTTCTTGCCATGTACTGTCATAGCAACCAGTGTTAGCTAGTTTGTAATCTTCTTTTTCTAATTAACACACATGCATGTGTGTGATGAAGAGGGCTGAGGATGTACATGGAAGTCTGGAGATAGTTCTCAACTTCTATGTTGTTGAGATAGGGTTTTTACAGTGATCTGCCAGCTCCAAGGTGATTCTCTGTGCTGGCCTGCCATGTCCCCTAGAAGTGCTAGAATTACAGATGCACACCACTGCACACAGCTTTTTATGTGGGTTCCAGAGAACCAACTGGAATTGTAGGCCCCCTACAGTCAGTGCTTTTATTCACCAAGCCATTGCTCCAGTCCTGGACTGGCACTTTAACTCCATTTTAACGATTAGAAAGCCTAGATTTTGAGTTTAAAAAATAAACTACACTTACATAACTAGTCAGAGGTATAGCTGAGTTTGGAGCTCAGAACTAATTTAAGAGGCTCAACTTCTTTCTTAGCCTAGTAACAAATTACAAACAAAATGTTTTTGCTGGGGGGCTGGAGAGATGGCTCAGCGGTTAAGAGCATTGACTGCTCTTCCAAAGGTCCTGAGTTCAATTCCCAGCAACCACATGGTGGCTCACAACTATCTGTAATGAGGTCTGGTGCCCTCTTCTGGCCTTCAGGCAAACAGACAGAATATTGTATACATAATAAATAAATAAAAAAAAGTTTTTGCTGTTTACAGAGTCCTATCTGTATTAGACTAAATGTGAGGTATAAAGTCCTACATAAACTTGTTTTTTGAATTATACTATATCCATAGGGTTATCATAAAACTAGCTTTTGGACATCAACTAAGTATGAAAGACCTGAAAGCAATACCCACTCATCACCCTGACAGAAAGACCGTGAGAAGCACTAGTAAATGAGGAACACTATCTGAAGGACCACAGATCCTCGCACAAGAGTGGAAACTCCTTGTAGCCTCAAGCAGCCATGCTACTTTAACTTGAGAAGTTCCTAGGCTTCAGCTGGTTTACAACAGACGTCTCTAATTTCTCCCAGCTGCAACCATAACTAAGACAAAATCACCGATGGCACCATAAAGTCTACAACATACCGATTACAGTAACATCTTAGAGCAGAGTGAAGTACAGAATGTCAGAATAAATATCGGTGTGAAACCCTAGGCCTTCCCAAACCAGTTCAGATCAGACTCAGGACATCTCTGCTTTGTTGTGAGTCTTTAAAATGTGATGACTTCAACAGCCATAAACCAAAAGAAACAGTATTCAAAGATAAAAGACATTAGGAAGGAACAAACATTGTGATCCTCAACAGGTTTTCCCAATCAAATCGGCAATTCCACGCTACCCACTTGTCCCACATCAAGGCCTAAAGATACTGAATTCCGTCTTCCTCACACTGTCAGCAAATCATTCTGTTTTTATGTTTTTAACCAACCTACATAATCACTTGTTAGGTTCAGCCCTCACGCTGCTTTCTGGAAAAGTACGGCCACTTTGCAAGACGCATCGACCAGCCCCAATAATTCATTCAATGCATTTCCTATTCCACATTCTAAACAGACTTTTTAAAGGATTCTGAAAAAAATACCAGCTAAATACAACTCCATCTCTGGTTTGTTTCTATACTGTCTTGGCACAGTACCTTCTAATTCACCTAGTTTGCACAATTAATAACTTAAATCTCCGCACTTCATCATCCCTGGTTGCATCCCGGAAAACCCAAAGGTGAAGGGTGATGATACCACAAAAACAGACGACTCAAAACAACAACGCTACAATAACTCAAAGACAGGAAAAAGGTGTCAAGCAGCTAACAACGTGTGGTTACTCTGAACAATCACACCTGGAACCAACTAGTACTCTGGACTTTTTTGTGGGGGGAAGGGTAGTAGGTTCGGGTGCTCCAACCCATTAATCTGTCACACGTGCATTCCGAAGGCACACAAAGACTCCCCCTCCGGCGCTATCTCCCCGGCTTCCCCGGCCCACCTCACCTGCGCGGGCAAGTGCAGGGAACCGGCGTCCGACGAGAGAGCGCCGGGGCCGGGGTCACGTGCTAGCACATCCCGCTGGTGGCCACGCCTCCCCGGACCTCCCGACGTCTCCGAGGGCCGGCGGCCGCGCTCCGTGCCGAGGGCCGGGCATGCTGGGCCGCGCCCGGGGCTGTCTTTCCGGAAGCGCTGGCAGCCAGGCTGGCCGACCTGGAAGGGGAGAAAAGTGATGAGCCACGACCTTTCCCCGTCCGGCCGCCCAGCCCGCCCGGCCGGCGCGCCTCGCCCACCTGAGGCCCGCGCTGGGGAGCACCGGCCCACCCGCTCGGCTCTTCATCCGGCCGGAGCTCGGCCCGGGCGCCTTTGCTCGCCCGGGACCCCACGCCCCGCTTGAGGCTCCCGTAACGTTTCCCGCCCGCCCCGCCCTACCCAGTCAGTCCCGCCTTCTCAGGGCCACACCTCCTCCCGGGGTGCTTTCCGGTTTCTCAGCCACTCCGGACGCGTTTCCGGCTTGCCTGCGCCGCGACCTTCCTTTCTGCAGAGTCGTCACGCCCAGTCGCTGCGCGTGCGCATCGCAGAGAGCCCGCCCCGCCCACCCCGGAAGTAGGCTGGCTTCGAGACGCTCCGCCCAGAGCGTGGCGGCTCAGGTGGAACTCAATCCAGTCGAGCGCTGAGTAATCGACTCGCCGTTGCTAGGAGACCAAAACTGATGTACTTGCTAGAGTTCATTCATTGCTAGAACTCCAAGGTTCTCCAGACTGTTTTTCGGGCCTAAATAGCATAGCCTCAAGTAGGGACGCAAGGATCCACGCAGCACGTTTTGAAATTAGGTCAGGCCATGAAGGTTGCCTGCTTCCATGTCGTAAATGATGGTACTAGGATTTGTGCAGGTTTCCTTCTCTCTTTGCCTTTCCGTCCCCATTCGCAGGCGCAGTGCTAAGAATGCTCATTGAAACCGCACCAGCTGTTCGGTAGCCAACTTTGTACATCACGTTTATTCATGCGGGTGGGTGGGTGGATGTGTGTGCTGTCTGTCACTAGAGCAAATGTCCATGTGGAGGTTAGAGAACAACTTACAGGAATCGGCCCTCTCTTTCCCTCATGTGGGTCCCAGGGACCAAAGGGCCTTACCCTCCGAGCCAGTCTATATGTGGCAATTTCTTAACGCCCGCAATTCACTAATCATACTAAGTAATTACCCAACAGAATATTTATATATATATATATATATGTGTGTGTGTATATATATATATACATAGATACATACATACATGTACAACAGCATGTGCACAAATGTTTCTTGCAACTTTGTTAATAATAATAATGATCTCATAACCATCTCAATGTGCATCAACCAGTAAAGAGTTACATTACTGTAGTAGAGCCCTCTACGCAGCGATAAAAAGGAACAAACTATTAGCATATGGGTGGACCTCAAGAAGCTTTCTACACTAATCTGAAGATTGTCAGATACAAAAAGTCTACAAGTCTGTATAAAATTCTAAAAAAGGCCAAACTAACAGCACTAGCGGCTGTCGGAGTAGTGATGGGTGAAGGGATGGCATTGCCTACAAAGAGGAGCCATTCAGGATGCTGTTTTCATGCCTGTATCTGTTTATTAAAATTAATCAAATAATAACGTTAAGATGGATGAGTTTTGCCAAGTGATGGTGCATGCCTTTAATCTCTGCAGTGGAGAGGCAGAGGCAAGCAGATCTCAGAGTTCAAGACCAGCCTAGTCTACACAGTGAGTTCCAGGACAGCTAGAGCTACATAGAGAAACCTTGTCTCAAAAAAANAAAAAAAAAAAAAAAAAAGCAAGAAAGAAAGAAAGGCTACTACAAAGAGGGGTTAGGGAGACTGCTTAGTGGCTATGTATGTATACTGCTCTTGCACAGGACAATTGGGTTCCCAGCACCCGTGTCCAGTGGCTCACAACCTCCTGTAACTTCAGGTCCTGGGGATCTGATGAACTCTTTCTGGACACAACAGACATCTACTTTATATGCACATACCCCCACACAAACAAACACACACAAATATTTTTTCAGCTTACCCTAGATTTATTCTTATTTTATGAGCATGAGTGTTTTGTTTCTATGTATGTCTGTACGGTATGCATCCTGGAACTGGAGTCACGGATGGTTGTGAACTCCCATACAGACATACATGGAAACAAAACACTCATGCTCACTAAGCAGTCTCTCTAACCCCTCTTTGTAGTGGCATTTCATATGTATTTTAACAAATAAAACATGCCTGAAGTTCATAGATTAAAACAGGCACACTGATCAGCCCTACAGACCAGCAGCAATAACACACACTTTTAATCCCAGTAGCCACACTAGTTTGTCATAGAAACCAGGTGTGCAGTAGTGGACAGACCAAAGAAACCCAACCTAGAAAATAAGTAAGTTAATTGGTGTTACTTATGGGAACATGGGCAACTTGTGAGCAACTGTACCATAGAAAAGTCTGACCCCCCCAGGCAGCTTTTTACCTCGTTTCTTTGAGGCAGGATCCCATGTAGCCCAGGCTAGCCTTACACTTGCTATAGAGCCAAGGCTGGCTGTGAACTCGCCATCCTCCTGTATCTTCTGCCCAAGTGCTCTGATTGCAGGTGTGTGCTACCATCATGCCTGCCTATGTTTTCACAGCAATAATGGGATCTAAGAGGAGTGTTCCGTGACTCTCTCCCTCTCCAGGAAGGAATGCTTGCCCCCTTACCAGACCTTGCCAAGTGAAGTACAATCTTTGTGTTTCACTGCAGCGACAGTGGCCGAGGTCTCCTAGGGAGAAACCCTGTCAAAAAAAAAAAAAAAAAAAAAAAAAGATCTCAATCATGTCCCCGTTTTCAATTATCTCATTTTTCTTTTGTCACTCTTAGCAGAAAGGTCAAAATCTTTGACCTGGCCCAAAGTAGCTCGTGGTCTTGGAGTCTACATGCCCTGCAGGGGGCATATCTGCTAATAGGAAGGCTTTCTCAATTCATGAAAAAATGTTGACGCAGGAACTCATGATGCCAGTATAAGTCTATAGGGAACCACGCCTCTTTAAATATGACTAACTTATGCCTAAAAGGAATAATTATTTCTATTTTATTTGCCTTGATGCAAGTGTTTTTCCAGTTGCTTCAGGCTGGTCGTTTAAACGCTAAACTTTAGAGTAAACATGGAAGCGAAAGACTCCTTTAAAAAAAGAAAACAAAAACAAAAAACAAACATGTTAGTGCCACACCCCAGCTCCCAGAGAAGAGGCAGAGGTCTGGTTGTAAATTTAGGGGGTTTTTGCGTCTCATGTTTTTAAGTTGGACTTTTCAAGTAGAAGGTGCCTTTAATGTGTTGGTTTGCCGAACAGGAAATCTGATTTTTCCGTGTGATAACAATCTTTGACATTAACCAGTGTAGTTGGATTTTTAATGACACTTTCATCTTCAAAGCTCTTTACCAGCACAGATGGATTAATTATTCATTGGGGGGGGGAGGCAGCGTCATAAAGACAAGCCTTCAAAGCCATATCCTTTCTCCTCAGAATTGGGGCTCTCTACTTTTCAAATGTTTTCCAATCCTCGAGGGAGGAAATAAAGATGAATACAATGGGAAAATACTTTGTGCTATGGGAAGGTATCCTTATATCCTGAGTGGGATTAGAAGAGGTCGAGAGGCAGGACTAAAGCTGTGTTTACAGTAAGCACCCTGAGAAATAGCTAGCTAAAAGTGTGTGTTACTGTTCGGACTTTTGATGTGTTTTTACAGAGCAACAAGAACATAAAGGGCCTCGCGTTAAACATACGCTAGAACACAATTTCACCAATCCTTATATTTGATGCTAAAATATATAGATTTTGTTCTTACCTTCAAAAAGTGTCTAATTTGGTTTTTGAAAGATTTGATTTCGCAGAAGAAAACCTCGGGCTTCCCCGGAGGTCCTCCTTAACTTGACACATCTTCTAACCGCAAGAGAGCAGTCTTCCTTTGATGAGTGCTTCTTCTCCACCTCCCCAGAAATGAAAGAGCAGGGGTATGTTTGCAAACACCCTGAAAGCTCTTTCCATCAGACCTGAACGCCGGAAGCCACAAAGGGCAGTCAAGTTTGGATTTTCAAGGAGAAAGCCGGAGTAAACTTTCTCTCTGCCGGCCAGCCGTTCTGCAAGTGTCTGGAAAGGGCCCTGCTCAATTCCTGGCTCCCGGAGAGCCACACCGGCTGGCCCAGGAGCGAATTACAGCAATTGGGCAGATTTGAAAGATTAATCTGTTCGGGGTGCGATCGTCCATTCAGGCTGGGGACCCTTTGTTAACTTTTGAATTAAGATCGGACACAAGCGTGGATGAAGCGTGTCCTCTATCTTTGCCCTTTCTGCTCGGAAGTTTTATAAAGACCCGCAGAGAGCAACGAGCTTCGGAAATCATGAGCAGTCCCCTCCACGTGTGTTCAGGTACCTAGCTTCTGGACCTAGACACTTCTCCAAAGACAAACAGGGAAGTCTGGATGGACCAGAGTCTCGGACGCAAAAGCTTCAAGTGTCGCCTTCCTGCTGAGACAGTCATCTCACGGGTGATCTGCACGCTTTTCCGCGGAGGGATGGAGAAACGCAAACCGGCGGGACTGCTGGTTCTGCCGTCTCCGATGCGGACGCCGCTGGGCGCGCTGCCCCGGAGGGAGCCGGGCAGGACCTCCGCGCGCCAGGACGCCGAGGACAGCGCGCCGTGCCCGTCCTTGTCGCTGGGGAGCGTCGGCGAGCCCGCCTTTCTGCGCCAGCGTAACGAGCGCGAGCGGCAGCGCGTGCGCTGCGTGAACGAGGGCTACGCGCGCCTCCGCCAGCACCTGCCGCGCGAGCTGGCAGGCCAGCGGCTCAGCAAGGTGGAGACGCTGCGCGCCGCCATCGGCTACATCAAGCACCTGCAGGAGCTGCTGGAGCGCCACAGGCCGGACTGCAACAGCGACGGCGAGTCCAAAGCATCCTCCGGAGCTTCGCCCTGCAGCGAGCCGGAGGAGCGCGGCTAGCAGCGCCCTCGCCCACCAGGTTTTTATGGAACTGGGTTCTTCTCTTAAGAAAAAGAATTAAGTGCTTCTGGAGTGGGGACGGGAGTATCTTAATGTTTGGAAGGTGTTTTACTCCTCTACCCATTGGTTCCTAACCTGCAACTTACAAATGCTGGAGGAAACTTGTTTCTTCTAAAGCACAGAAGGACCGTCCGAGATCTGTGCGGTGATTTTAAAAACACAAAAGGCTGTAACAATTAAATGTTAGCTAGAAAAGAAACACACACACGCGAGAGGCACAGTCTCGCACATTCCTTCCCTTTGGGAAATTTACTGGAAATCAACAGCACCGCACTATGGATGAAGGTGGCAGAGCTGCCACTCCTAACACATTTGTGGCGCATCGGCTAGACCTGAACATGGGCTTGCCGACTGTGAATGGCCGTGCTAAAAAAGGCATTCTTGCTTGATACATACTGCTTTGTCGGCAGGAGGTCGTTTGGAAACTTTTAATAAAGTCTCGAAGTTAATGATCTTTTTGGTGATCTTGACGGCCATCTTCCCGCCCAATTCCTGCCCACTGTTTCTTCTGCTCTTTTCTTTGCATGTTCCTCTGTACCGTTTTACCCCTTCTAACTTGTTTGGAAAAGTGACACTGACTTGAAATATAAAAAGCAAAAATGCTTTGTTTCGATGTTTGAGCTGAATGGAGAGGGATGTGGATAATGAATATGAATTGAACTTGATGCATGTCCAAGCCATTTGTCTTTGAAGGTTTTCAGGCATATTGAGTATTTCACTATGGTCATTCCCTCTGCCTCATCAAACAGTTATGAATTATAGAAACTGCTTGATGCTTGTTGACATCTGAAGGCAAACTGCTTTCTAAAGTTTCTGCCCCCATCGCCCTTCTGTGGTGCTGGGAATTGAACCTAGGGCTTCATACTTGCTAGGTAAGTGCCCTCCCGCTGGTCCACAACCCATCCTCCTACATTCCATCTAATACCTTACTGTGAATTACCCTTTCTTTGGAGATAACTTGGGCTGGGAAGGGTGGAGCTGAAGTGAACCAATCTGGGTGAGCACTGTCCAGGCACCATCTCCTGCAATCCTTTACTTCCCGACTCATCTAAAAACAAAACCAGTCTAAAAAACAACCAAAACCTTTTTTATTTTAGGAAGGGGGGGGGGGGCTAGAGAGATGGTTCAGTGGTTAAGAGTGCTCGCTACTCTTGTAGAGGACCTGAATTTGTTTCCCAGCACCCCCATGGTAGCTCACAACCACCAATAACTCCGGTTCCATTAGACTGGTAGACTTTGACCTCATGGTGATGGCTATTGAATTTTCTTTTGAAGTTTTTCTATATTTCCTTACTATATTGTTCTATTGTCTTTTGTAAACCTGCTTTGCAACTGCTCATGATTTTACTCCTTAAAATGGCCGTGAGAAATACTCAGGGTTGTTCTAACTTAGGAGGCAGTCAGTGGCCTCTGGTACATCCCAATAAAAATCAAGCTTGCTTCAGATTTGGCTCAGCATTGCGGAATGATCTTATTCTCACCCGATGGAGTCGGTTCTGTCCTTACATCTTCGCGTGGACTCCAGGGTTGAACTGGGTAGTCAGGATTGCGTGGCCAGTTTACCCACCAAGCCTTATCACTGGCCGCAGGAACGCAGACTTTCAAAAAGACTCTCCCCTTCTCCTGCGGTGGAGCACTCCCCTAAGCCATGGAACGTTGCACCTTCTTCTAAAAGAACAAAACCAAGCCCTAATGTTGTTTATGGAGCGGAGTGCTGTGTTATGGGAACACAGGGACGATAAAAGGAGAGAGGCCGCCATGTCCTTTGAGGTCTTCCCTGATTGGTTGTCTGGAAATCTCCAGATGTTCCTCAGGGTTCACACTGATAGCTGCTGTGACATGCATGCCCAAGGGCCAAGAAGCCCTGATCTTGACTTCATGGCTTCCAGAGTAGAGAAGTAGTTGTTGGCTGTTTAAGACACCTGTGACTACCCTGAATTTGAAAGCCAGGTCCTATCTGGCTAGGGAAACCACGTGGGAATGTTAGCGTGGCCTATCCTAACCAAGCACACACAGACTCTACAGAATGCCCCTGCCAGAAGCTTTCCGGACAGTTACTATCAGACTGAAGCCTGAAGTTATCTTTGCTGTCTTCAAAAGTGAAAAGGAAGAAGGTCACATCATCCCGGAAATGAGATTTTGGTTAGAAATGTGGTCTCCAGAATCCTCCGCTGCAGTGATGACTGGATCCCACTGGGGAGCCCCCTTTGATCCTTCTCTGTGGGCCATCACACGCCTGTCATCCCGTGGTAGACAGACAAGCTGCCTGCTGGGGTAGAGAGAGGAGGGCCTGAAGGTGCCTTTTAGTTCCTTTACAGGCTCATGACAACTAAACCGTTTCGAGCCCTTTGATTATCATCGCTGAGTTGCATATGTGTTTTCCTTGTAGACTCTCTGGGTGGTGAGGCTGGTGTTTAATCCCATAGCTATTTAGCCCTGTCCTTTGCTTGAAGACCTGTCAGCCCCCCTTTCATGTCGGGTTACTCACTGTCATTAACTCCAGCCAGAATGAAACCACGGGAGCTGCAGAAAGGTGTCCGTCCAGACAGCACAACTCTCCAAACTCTCCAAACTGGTTTTTTGCCTCCAGAGCAGGGCCTAGAGGGGGCCAGCCACTCCTGACGCTGGAAAATAATCTAAGAATTCTATATATGAGCTATAAGCAGGGTCTTGTGAGATGACATGATCTTTCTGGGCCCAAGAGTATTCTCTTTCTTTTTCTCCTCCTCTTCTCTCCCCCTTCCTCCTCTTCCTCCTCCTTTTTCTTTGTAAAACACCACTAAAGGCAGATCATTCTATATGCTAGCAGTTCCTGAGGTTATACTGTAGAGCAGGCTAGCTCTTCTATATACTATTCTCTGCTGATTTTCACAGCTGTGTGAAAAGATGGATCTATCACTTCCATTCTCAAGATGAGGAACCTGAGACTTAAAGAGATCACATGACTGTATTACTTTGCTCATTGATTCAAGAAAATACCAACAGGAAATGTAAGAGAGATGGGGTTAATCTCAGCTCACAGTTGGAAGGGCTTAGGCACTGAAGCCTGTGGCTCCAAGGTGATGAGAGTGTGGCTGCACCTGATTGCTCATGTTTCTGTGAATCATAAAGCAGAAACAGGGCCTGGGTGGTGATGGCACACTCCTTCAATCCCAGCACTGGGGAGGCAGAGGCAGGTGGATCTCTGAGTTCAAGGCCAGCCTGGTCTACAAGAGCTAGTGCCAGGACAGGCTCCAAAGCTACAGAGAAACCCTGTCTCGAAAAACAAACAAACAAAAAAGAACCACAAAACATGACCCTTTAGGGTACATTTTACATTCAAACTATAACATTCTAGTTAGGTTCATGGACATCTTATTATGTACAATACATTAAATTCAAAGGTTTTCAGTCTAATATTTTTTTTTAGCCACTGTTAAAAGTTGTTAGTCTCTTCTGGATCTCAAGGCACTCTTTAAAACTATACACTTCTAGCATGCAACGGCAAAGAGTAAGCATTCCTTTTCTAAAAGAGAAGAATGGGACCGTAACAGAGACAAACCAGACCAAAGCAAGACTGAAACCCAGCAGAGCGAACACCAAACTCTTCAGCCCCCAGGTGGGTATCTGGGTAGCATCAAGACGCCATCTGAGCTCCAACAAGCTCAGATGTTGGAATGTAATTGACCCCACAATCTCATTAGCACTATTAGGATACCACCCAGTGACTTACTTTTGCCTTCTGGTCATGTCACCAGCACATGTCTGCCTGCACACTGCCATGCTCCCTACCAAGATAAATGGACTGAACTCCTGAAACTCTGAATGAGCCGCCCCAATTAAATGTTTTCCTTATGAGTTGCTGTGGTCGTGGTGTCTCTTCACAGCACTGGTAACTCAAACTAAGACAGAAGTACTGCCTTCTTAGCCCAGGTCCACTCTGAGCCTGCAGCTTTTACTGGTGAATGTTGCACATTTCCGCATCTCCAGTATCTTGGGAGTTTCCACTGCAACTTATGTCAGAAGAGAGAACCGATCTCACTACAGATGGCTGTGAGCCACCATGTGGTTGTTGGGAATTGAAATCAGGACCTCTGGAAGAGCAGCCAGTGCTCTTAACCTCTGAGCCATCTCTCCAGCTCCATTTAATGTTTTTATAGTAATTAAAGATGTAAACATGGGGTCACCTGAGAGCTCTTTGCTGTCAGTGTCAAAGCATTACTCGAAGCGGTCGGAATCTGCTGACAGCGTGCTGTAGGCTCTCTGCCTCTTCTCTTTGACTCCTGCTCCTCAGCACACCCCACTATGCACTTATCCAGCATCTGATTACAACAACTTGGGTGCTTGGTGCTCCTATGAGAGAAGGGAATCTAAGCTTTTGCTGGGTGAGGAGATCCACAGATGGACACAAACTGACACAGTAGAAAAAAAGGAAACATTCACAAACCATATGTAATAGAACATTTGTCATGATACCTATTGGGCTAGAAAAGTCCACTCTGGTGATTACAGACTTGTATGACCGAGTAAGGCAACTTTTTGACCCTTTCCTACAACCTAGTAGATTTTCCCAAAAATCTGGGATAAAGAAGGAAGAGGCACATTTGCCTGCTCCAAATGGAGACATGTCTCCTGGAAGGCTGTTTTACAACCCTGGCTCCTGGAACAGCAGCCTCTCCACCAGTCACTGTGCTGTGTACTCTGGATCTTCAGTCTGATGTCTTAAGCGTTTCAGTCCATGGCACTTCAAGCCTCTGCTGGGCTTGGCTTTATCCTTTAATAACTGCAATTGGTCTCAGTTTAATGGCCTTCTTGCTGATCCCAGCATCGTGGCAGGTATTCACGACGTCTGTCACATTCTTATAGGACTCTGGAGCCTACAGGGAAGGGATTGAACACTTTAAAGTCCACCAACAAGAAATCTTTCAAAACACAAAGATTTACTTGAAATTTTAAGAAATACTTGGGATATTTTTGCCCATTAACTAAGCAAAAGTTAAAAGTATGAACAAACTCAGGGCTCGTAAGGGGTGTGAGATAAACAGGTGGTCCAAAATTTTCAAAAAATTTCTTCAAAAACATTTATTATTTGTATAATTAAAAGCAGGGGCCAGTGAGATGGCCCAGTGGAGAATGTGCAAGTCTGTGACCGACTTTTATCCCTGGAACACACAGTATGAGGGGGAGAGAACTGACCGCTGACTTCTGGCCCAGACACCGTGCACACACACTACATACACTAATTAAAAAGAGAAGCAGTTTCACATTTCAAGTGCACACACCAATCCGCTTGGGAGGAAATGGTCCAAATGACAGAACAGTAATAGGAGCAAAATTATTTCTCTATTTCAGCAGCTATTAAAGTTCTAAATGGATGTGGATTAGTAACTTCCTCTTCACAAGAGATCTGTGTCCATCTAAACAACTGCAAGTGTGTGGCTGTGTATCTACA